CATGACCTTAATAAACTCGCAAACACTTAAATGTTGAATTATTGAGATGCATGTAATATCATCAGCGACTACTGATATTGTCGAGGAAGACGCTGAAGATCGTTGTGATTGTTTTGTTTCTATAAACCATCAAATCCATAGACTAACGATTCTTGAATATCAGACGAAACAGATTCGATTTGGCATGAAAAGCAAAATGATGAACAATATATAGATGGATCACTGACAATCTCTGATGACACCAAGTGCCCGCGATGAATAACGTTCAAGTTACTGATCGGCTACTTCAAACACTCGTTCCTTCCTGATATCACGATGCATGAACAAGACGTCTTACCATGTAACATATTCCGTAGTCCCTATAGCGTTAATCAAAGACTGTTGAAGTTACTAGCTGATACAAATGAAAACCAATATGCATTATCTTCATTAAATTCCACAATGCTCTACATTTCCGTTTGACTGGAAACTAGCTCACGGCATCTCATTGTATAAGAAAGGAAACACATCCCTTTCCATATAATACAACCATTTTCTTTGAAATACGTTCTTTTGTAAGGTTACATGTGGACTTATTCCAGGACATCCTACTGCCCCACTATTACTTGAATTCTCTGATTATATTTTTATCTGATGGCCTGCATGAGTGCCATAGTATGATATTCTGTGATATCACCAAAGGTTTCGATAAGGTTTGGCACTGCTCAAGGCTGACGTCATGATTTTGAAAAATAAGGCATTAATATTTTTCATGGTTAAAAGATTAATGTTTTAAATGTAGTGTTAAACCCAAAATAATTCATGTCCTTGTTACTGCTTTGTTTTTTGTTATAGAAGAGTCAATTTACTTCGTTCCCGTTTAAGATTTTGCTGTAATTCCTTCAATACAGTAATACTTACAGTAGAAAACAAATGTGGAAATACATGCGAACACAACTTTTACACTTTTCTTAAATGACCTCAATATGATGCCATAAGAAGTATATTGTAAAACATTATATCATCAAATAGGGTAAATTATCAATCAATGATTTGGGACAATATATAGTTTGAAATCTGGCGCTTCTCGACCTTTTAATGTGACACCGTTTTCATCTATGTGAGCGAGGTGGGCTCCAATTTAGTTCTGAGCCTTGTAAGGCTCGCGTCCTCTATGTTGCGGGTTTCCATACAAAGTAACATAGCTACACTCTATTAGTGCCTATATGCGAAACAGGTATACCAACGTAAAAAACATATATGAGAATATACACTGACACACTTAATTGTAATATCAATGCACTCAAATCTACTCGATACAACACAATTAAGACACCCCAATAAAAGCGTCAAAATATATTTCCATGATCATAATACGTCTCTCCTAATGCCAGAATCCAACGTACACTTCCAACTACATCTTAGGCAGATGTTCATGCATCACGATCAAATACATGAAGTGTTTCCTTCATCACGTTTGACATGGTAGAATGGAGACAACTATACTGTTTAGAGTGTAGAGTTATGGCACCTGCAGGTTTGACTGTGCTAAATTTGATCACACTTACGGTTCCAATTAATCGACAACAAACTAGCATGAAGCAATTATACACTGGAAACCCTTATCACCAACCTTCCTACATGATTTTTGTTTGCTTGGAAACTACAGTGTGTTCATCCTCTCATCAACGACATGAACCTTCAAGATCTGTTCATCTTGCAGGACGGCACCTATGTGCTACTGTGTCTTGAGGTGCCGAGATCTGAGAAAGAGTCTGTCTGAAGATAAGGTTTGAATCCTTCTGAAGACATTTTCTTTGAGGTGTGTTCTTCTGTGTCCTTATCATGACCAGTAACCGTTAAATCATTTGTTGAAGGGAAGAATGAACTTTCTGATAGCATGTTTATTTTGCATCAGCTTTATGTGGATCAGTCAGCGTGTGATAGTGTTGATTTTCATGCAAGGGTCTACAATCCCATTCACACGACAACCTCACGAAACATAACATGTATTTGCCCCATTGTTGTAAAGGAGTCACCTCCAAAAGGACTAAACATATAGCTCTGTAGTCCTGACGAGCATGCACTTTCTTTTTGTTTGCAAGGGTGTCCAAGCAATGTCATAATGTGATCCTACAGTATCGATTTCAGATGATGGTCACCATGTTTTCTGATACTAATCCATAATGGAATGGTTCACTGTTTATCAAGACACACCGCCATCAATGATCTGTATCATCGCACGTCTTATCACAACAAGGATTCAAATGGCAATCAATACCTAGACATTCAGTTATTTTGTTCTTTTCCTTAACGGTTCCGCTATATTCAAGCTATATGACGTCAGACTGAAACATATTTTGGTCCGGGCAACCCATGCTTGCCGTCAGAGGCGACAAACAGGGTCGGGTGGTCAGGTTCCCTGACTAGGTTGGCACGTGTCGTCGTATCGCAGTTACATAGATCGAGGCTCGTTGTGCTAATCACTGTTTTTTCTGGTGAGATTCGATTATTTACAGACCGCCGCCATATAACTGGAATATTGCTGACTGCGGCGTTAAAAACTAACCAAACCAAATCTTACCCAACCCAACAAAAGTACTAGTATCTGTACTTTACTATGAAAGAGCAATCCCAAATATAACATGTTACATTTGATCACTTTCTAAATGGCATTGTGTATTCAGATCTCTCACCTTTTCTAAAATCGACAATCGTATGTTCATATGACCAATATGGACTGATGGAGTCCTATTCTAATCTTGAACCCCCGCATGGGTGAAACGAGTCGAGCTGGTATGTACAGCACCTTTAATTAGCGCTGAATGTACAAATGGTCTTGGACCAACCAGGATTGCTGATTTTAAGCAGGGATAATCTATATAGTCTCCCTGTTTTAAGTTAGATCTAAGATTCCTCCTTTTCATTATTCTGTGTTGGTCATCAGCATAATATCCAGGCCCAGAAAAATGCTGAATGATATTCACACTTTCCTCTATTAGATACGTGTTTTTTTATCACCAACATTGGATTCAAACCAACTGACTAAAAAGCGGGCAGTGTCCAAGGTAACAACATACAAAATCGTGTCTTTAGGTGTCCTGTCATGATGAATTCTCACGGAATAATAATAATTACTGTACTGTTGTTTTGTGTAATATTACCGACAATTGCCGACCCTTGAACACAAACAATAAAGATCTAAAATTATTGGAGTTTGACCGAAAAAAATACGGATGGTGGAGAAATAACCTGTAAAATTGAATCCATCATCACATATGGAGATAAGTATTGTACATTGGGACAAAACTCATGTCCTGGCCATTGAGAATGGCAGCCAGATCATTGTATTTGGCTTACCTGTTCTTCATGTTGGACAGTAGCCTAATAGACACTTGACTAACCCAAGAGCAGTGTATGTGGTTGACAATCAAAGATCACAAATTTTCCAATCCATGATAAGCAGCTTCTGGTGTGACTATGCGAGGCAACTCTGAACAGGGAGCTGAAATGGCATGTTGCCACCAACGGCTTTTATACATGTACTCTAGTCAACAGAATAACCAAAGATTGCTGTTGTAAAGTGATCAGCAAACTTGGTAGCAAGACGATGATTGCCAGTTCATCCTGACATTGAATATCAAAGTCACAGATTGTATTGAAACCATTGGCATCAACTGCTTGGTCTGCTGGTGAAGCAGGAAATACTTCTCCCTGATGACCAAAATTGTTCAAAATTAGAGAGACAGATCTGCTTCAGATGGGAGATATTCGAGAGAGAGAAAGATTACTATATATTATCAGCCTTTTTCTAAAGAAGACTTTCTGATCTTTTGTCAGTATGTTGGAAAAGGTTAGTCCATCTTAATTTGTGTTTTGGAGTTTGACAGCATATACATTCTGGATCATATATGATGGGGAAGCCTAATACCCTTATTGTGATTGCATCCTGGTATCAAAGTTTATGTATTCTTTGATGGTAATCATCTGTGATGATTAGGGTGAGCCACTTAAGGGTGAGCCATGGTGGGTGTTGCCCTGATTCCTAAGCATAACAACATAAAAGCAAAACACATAATTTGTTTAATGTTTACTTTAATCAGATATCCTGATATTTATGTCAGTACATTGCACACAGTCTTCATGCGAATCAACATTTGAACTAAATACATGAGACTTAATCTCTTACACAAATATATCCTTGTTAATGATTGTGATGGAAACACAAATAGAAGATGACCTTGACCTTGATAAAGTGACTTGATTAGCTGAGGTAGAGCAAGCAGCAGCCATGGTGATGCACCATTGTATGCTAATCAAAAACAAATAACAAAAACATAACAGAATAGAAACGCAACTGGTCTATACTGATTTGATAAATTTGCTGTTTCTATTTACAACAGATGAAACAAGATCTCTGTTGGTCACTAAAAAGCTAGTGCTAACACCATATTCAAACAAATCTTGTTGATAGCATAACTTATTTCCAATGCAGTGAACTTAGACTACTACACCAAGGTATTCCAAAAAGCTATTCTAATCCTAAATACATAACAAGAGCATGTGTTTGTTTCATCTGGTATACACAATGTGGATTCTGTGAAACTTCACTAATCCTGAAAATGTGGCCAGTGAAACTGTTTGGAGAAAAATATATGTGACACAATGTTCCTCAGTGTGTTGTTTTTATGTTTCTTTGCATCTTCTTGATGTTCCCTAGCAAATTTGGTGTTCCAGGAAGTCTCTGGAAAGGTCAAGACTTATACAGTTAACTGAACTTGAAAATTAATATAAGTGATTGTAAATCATTTGTTTGAGAAATACTTCAGCCAAAGGCATTATTATTACAACAGAAATTTGATCAAAATATCACAAAAATACTTACCAGAAACCAAAATTTGGAAGAATAAATTTAAAAATCTGAAAAACAATTTCAGTATGTGTCACAGTTGACTTGCTCTTCACTTTAACATTGGATGTATTTTCATGTTTGGGGCTAAAACAAATGAGAGTAACATTTATTAGAGGTACCCAGTTCAGAGTATATTTGCTCCCCATCATTTTCTGTTCAACCAAATGTTGTCTAGCTTAACAGGATTCACTGCTTGAAGATTCTAAAATTATTTCTCAAGCCTATCTCATTATTTCCTCAAACCATGCATTTCAAGTGCTGTGTCAGAAAGGTACGCAGAAATCCATAATTCAATCTGTTCTTATAGACTTCTGAAAAATCAGTATCAAATAAAGATTTCATGGTTTATTTGACACAATGAAATTTATTTCCATGTAAACATTATCAACAAGCAATGGTTGGAATGATGGTTTTAAATGTAAAAAAATTACCAGTTCCTGCATATTTTGCTATTTTTCTTGCATTGCCTTTTAAGTAGAGTGTCAGACACAGTATGAACATACTCGTGGGGTCTCTGCACTCCTCCTCAAGGTAATGGAGTGAAACCCACAGAGGAGATTAACGAGGAGAAGACTGGAGAAGATGCGTATACAGCTGACGTCAAATCTGCTTTTTTAATCAGCCGCGTTATTTTGAAGTTTCATCTGTATTTAAGATGCATTCTTTAACACTTGGTGATTTGGGCAGAAAATGAGAGTTCAAGGCCTATGACTTAGATTTCAAACACTAATATTGTGTTCCCATGAAATATCTTATACCTGGGATGTATTTTTTAAATTTATTCAACTTCTTACAATCAGGAAAAAAAGTTAAAAGTAACGGGTACCTTAGACAATACTTTTTAAATGTACAATTATTTTCAATGCCAACATAAAATAATTCTATATCATAAGGGCAGCCTTCAAGAAGTTATGAAAATATTAATTAGTATTAATCAAGAACTTTATGTGACAAAATATATAATATAACAAAACATGGCATCCATAGAAGCCTAATCTATGCATCATTTGTCAGTAAACATGTGGAAGTTGTCTTTTTTCAAACAATGTGAATAGAATTAACTTAATGTTTTTTATATGATTATGATGATGATTATGATGATGAATAAGTCTTGATCAATTCATATATGTACATCAGGCTCTGATAAGTGTAAAAAAGTCCAGTTTTGAAATATCCTCAAGATCGCAGGAGTACCGGTATTCAAATTTGTTTTCACTCATTAGTGAAAAAAACCCAACAAATATATATTTCAGCTTGAAACGTTTTCCCGAGTTCTTGAAAATATTCCCTTCAATGTGCTGTAATGTAATGTCAATGGATAAATGACAACCATTGTGACCAGAAGGAATACTTTTGGTTTTCAAATAGAAAGGTATTTTTATTATGAGTTATTACTTGCATGAATCTAATAAGTTATAAAAGTATTAAAAACACAACAGTTCCCAATCAAGATAGATGTTTTTGTACAATGTCTTGATATCAATTTAACTCGTAGAGAACAAATAATAGATCTTTTGAAATATTTTAGTTTAAAGAAAAACACAACCAAAATAGGACAGTACCAGTACTGACATGACAGCTGATCCATTTCCAACAAATGAAATAGAAACTGTTTGAAGCATTTCAAAGGAAGACAGAATATTACTATTTCTTGACATATTCACAAAGTCTGCTATTAAACTGATCTGATATTCACCAGAAATACCAAGTGGCTAATTACTTTATTTTTGTTAAATACTAAGTAAGGGTCCTTATAACGTGAAAATAATAACTTATGATGTCAATGCACAAAACAAAACAAAACACAAACACATGCCATGGACACAAATCTACACTGACTTTTGCACTATTCAGGATTGACCATTTAATATCCTGTGGATGAAGAGGGGGTGGAAATATTTTTGTTTGAATTTTAATATTTTTTTTGTCATTTTTTCAAAATACAAACATACTTCTAAGACACCTTACAAAGGAGAGACAGAGGTATACTGTTTGTTTTCTCTCATGAGACTTATTTCAAGAACAGTAACTTGACTAGCCTTTGACACATGTCACTGGAAAGGCAAGATATATTTTCGGCTTTTATGAATTTATCATTAACACATGATTATGATATAGCCAGAATAGTACAGTGGACATTTGGTTTGATTTGTTTATTTAGTTTTCACCTCTCTTTAACCTTTTACACCCAAATGGAATATGTTTCATGAGATAATCAAGTAGTTTGTCCATTTGTGTTAACCCTGGACAATATTAATTTTCCCCCATGTTTTCTGTGACAAACGTTTTTTTTAATGCCATACTCTGCCCCTCAGAATGGGAAATGGTCAATACCTTACAGCATAAATAACTAAATGTTGTAGTTCCAATATTTCAGCAAATCCTACTATTTGTTTGTCCATTGTTCAGGTTATATACTCAGGGAAACAAATAAGGGAACACATGTAAGCACAAGTGTTCCTATATTCTTTGCCATGTTCCTTCACAAACTTTGTATAGCACTGTGGGTGACAACACAAAAATACATACAGGAACACTGATGAAGTGGTGTTTCCTTATTTGTTTCCCTCAGTATATTTACATCCATTTCATTACAGATGCAACATTGCTAATCAGCTTGATATATTCTGTCAATACCTGATTGACATGATGATCAATCCTAAGATGGTTGTTGTGTAATTGAATCACAACATTCCTATTTAAGCCTAATTTGATTGAACTGCTTGATGCTTAGCATCAGTCAAACCTACAGAAAGTGATCCAACATACATCTTAGTCATATATATATTTACTTTCAGAAATTATATTTCTTATATGATTAAATGAAAATACAAAGTTAAAATCATTATCAGGTATAATTTATTATATAACACTAAATTTTGAAGCATGTCATGTTTAAGTTCAGGAAAATTATAAAATATTTGCTATATGATCACTATTTATTTGATTCCAATAGCATACATTTAATTTCATATAAATATAAAACAAACATATATTGTTTGACAAATTTGTCAGATACGAGTACCTTCAAAGTTATTGTGTAATTATATATGTTCAAATTTATACGGTATATAACCCTTTTTAACATGTGCATATCACAAATTCCTGATATATTATACAGTGTATACTGTACAACAAAATCTAACCTATCCAATCTGTACACCTTTGAACTGTACATGCCTCTCTGTACATGTAAATGTGAATACATACTTTACAAATTGTACAACTTTGTTATTGACATTTCTTATATACAATTATACTGTTTGTGAAAGAACACATTAACAGCAGTTAGGAAATCAGTATATCAAGATGTACACTGGGGTGGATCTCAAGCAGTCACTTTCGTGAAATCTTGATTTTTTTCCCCTAAAATAATTGGTGTGGCAGTTGGCGAATAAGTCGGTCATGGAGTCAGTCTTCAGGAGTCACAGTCCTTTACCGTCAAAGCTGTGCTTGTCTTGTGGTGCATCTAATCTCATTTCAAAACTTTGTTCTTGATTGTTGTTTTTTAACACCATGTTTGTGAAAAAATGGGAAGCCGTCAACTCCAGATCCCAAAGAATTCAATTCACTGAAAAATGTTTCAATGTTCAATCAAAGTCAACTTTGGTCTCTCATTGAACAAATTACACAGTTTAAACTCATGCCTGAAGTGATGTTTCAGCCAATCATCCAGCATCAACCTTGCAAATGTGTCTGTGCAAACACACCTGATTTGCAAAAACTGAATTCCCAATGAAATGCAGTCATCACAACCTTTGAGAAATGTTCCAAATAACTGGCATTGAAATCAAGTCCGTAATGTCTCTGAAATATACAAAGCTTGAATGTTTATGCCCCGATTCAAGTTGAGGCGAAACTCGGAAGCAAGCAACATATACAACATGGCTGACAGACATCGTGAAACATCACATCTGTGTTAAAGGACACAACTCTAGTTTGATGAGTCCAATTCAGTGTTAGATGTTAGTCAGAGAACCTGTTAAGTACAATGGCATTGTATGAAATTTAATTTGGGAGAAAGAAACAGTTCTAGGCCTCCGTAACTGAAGTTGACTCATGGACAGCTTCTAAAGAAATGTACGAGTTCAACATCAGCCTGTTATGCTGCCTTATTCCAAACCAGCCAATCATGGCTGGAGGTGTTTCATTTGCACCAATCAGATTGCACAAATCCCTTTACAGGTAAGGGCTCAGGTTATAATGTAACTGAAGCTCTTCTTCATCTGACAGTTGATGTGAGAACAGATTGCACTCTCCCATGTTATTATTAAAATTATCCTGTACAAGTTGGGTGAAATATTTTAGGACATAAACATGTCTTGTCAAATCAAATGTTTATTTTATGGAAGTCTCACACTTGTTTAGTCATTGGAAGGTTTACCTCCTTAGATTTCATTTCACTTTCACAAGCAACATCACTGGATCCTTTCTGACCAATCAGGTGAAAGCTTTCACAGATCTTCCTCTCTCATTGGCTGTAACTCCATCCATCTTCCCCTGCATTCCATTGGTCAGTGTCAACAACCAATAGAAACCAACCTCCAGCCTGTTTGATGTCTCATTGGTTGATTTGAAAGTGGAAAATAGATTGCACCAATCATATTGCTGACTGCTTGTTCAGCTACATGTACACCAGACTGTATAAGGCACAGATAACTTGATCTAGGTGTCAGTGTCATAAGACACAGGGGACTAGGACAAGGGAGACAACTAGTGACAACATCAGTGATGTTTTTGCATAGCTTGAGATAGACACCCCAGCATGGTTCGGATGGATCTGTGAACCAGTACCTGCAAAAGACAGATGAGTTTATTGTCACTCTGTATCTCTAAAATGAAGCAGATGTTGAGAATTTTTTTCCAGATTTTAAATCTATGTACCAGGGCCAAGTTTCACAAAGCGATCATACATAGACTTACGCCAGTCGTAGCGCTACGATCACTCTGTGAAATGGGCCCCTGATCTTCAGTCTAGTACATCAAATGAAAACAATTGTTGCCATGCACATTACCTTTAGTAGGCCCTTGAAACGTTGTACAGTCAAACACCCTTGTGTCACACTTGATTTGTTTGTTTAACGCCACACTCAGCAATATTCCAGCTCTATGGTGGTGTTCTGTAAATATTCTAATCTCGACCAGACACTCCAGTGACCAACATCATGAACATTGATGTACATACTTGGGATATATGATGACATGAGTCAACAAAGTCGGTGAGAAAGATCACCACCCGCATAACTATAAGTATGGGTTGCAAGGGTCACAGGTCAAAGAGACATACGTAAATACTTTGAGTTATCCAAGGGTTCACATAAACTGATGACTTAATAAAGAATATGCAGTGACTAAGGTATTACTTCAAAACAACCATATCACAATAGTGTTTGACTGTACTGATATCAATTTCTGAAACAGATAAGTCTCATCTCACAAAATTGATCAATTTGCATTTTTGTCCTGTTTGCATCCTAGTTTGTTACCCTTAAGATAAATTTGTCGAATTCTGATGTGTCAGTAGTCAAAGCATACGTAATCATTTAGGCGGATTTGCCAGGGTGTACAAACCGTACACCCCGTCAAATCTGTCACGTGACACACTACGCAGGTTGTACAAATGACCTTGACCTTAGATGGAATGTGGCTGCCAAACGGCTGATTGCTTCGAAATTTTAGAGTTGGTGTATTCAATTATGAGCATAAACAGAGTAATAAAATTGTTGCCATAATTTCTTATTTGTTTGTGTCAATAAATATATCCAAAAAATAAAAAGTTATGGCTTTTCACTTGTTGTTTAACAAAAACTCAAATTCGATAATTTTGTCATAAACTAAGCCATCCTAAGTTATCTACCTTTATGACCGTTCGGGAAAAATCATGGCGAAACGATTTGCATCTCATTCTGCCGATGATTGAATGTTGTTGTTTAAAGATAAGCTAAATAAAAAAGATCTTAAGGGTAATAAATTCGTCACACAGTGTTTTGAAAGGGTGTACGGGACTGTAAGACCCTTGTAAATTCCGTATTTCCTGAGGCTTTCACTTACTGAATAATGCAGTTACTTTGTGTAACAATCTATAGCAATTCCTGTCCCGTACACCCTTTCAAAACACCGTGTAACTAATAGTATGGCATAATAAATACAACTTCATTAGGTCCTCATCTACAGCTCAACTGTAGATACACACTGTATAAAGCAACAAGCCTCCTTTTGCAGTCATGATCCTAAATTGCTTGACTTGCATTCTACGAGTTCGTGAGCACAAAAGAAAACATACAACTTTATTGATAACAACTTCCAATAAACCAGAAATTATCCACAAATTTGTATGTATTTTTATTATGAGACGATTACTGTATACAAGCTACAGAACAAAATGAGGAAACATGTCTCCACACCGTAATAATATTTGATTAGCTTGTTAGAATAATGACTACAATTTCCAATTTTACCCATAGAAAAACTATGTGTCTTGGACTGGAAGGAACAGAGCACACTGTGAAATCAGAGACAAGATGCTGTGGGACTACAGATAAATATGCCTGTGACTTAGAACAAAAGGAATAGAGTATGGCAATTGCTCATTTTGCCCATACCTCAGCAATATTCCCATATGGCCTGACAGTGATCTATCAGCTGAAGTGCCTTTGAAACACAGCTCTAACACCAAAGCAATCTAAACTTCTAGGAACTAGTTAACAACAGCAATAAACATAAAAGATATCAATTCAAAAACATATTGTTTTACTTAGATTTACTTCATACAGAATTTATCATCCACAACTGATTAAACATGACAACATTCAAACTAAAACCAAATAATGGATCACAGAAAATGTATAATTAGATCTTTATTTCTCAATATTTCTTTGAAATATATCAAAGATAAACCTTGGTATTTCAGTGTTTGTTCACATCTGATAGCATTATAATGACATACTGCTTTAGGGATGATCCCCTGTGATACATTTCCTGACTCAATATGTTTCCTATTTGCCATCATCAACAGAAATCTCCATCACGTTATCACTACATCCTTGTTCCACCCACCCACACTTCCATATGTCAGTGACTACTCTGCTAGATTCTAGGAAGGGTTCATAGCCAGGAACTGCACTGTTCTTTGCTGCCAGAATTTCTAAAGAATACTTGTTCCAGATAATAGACTGATATTCCTAGAACACTGGCTGAAGTCCCCTTGGTTATCTGGTAAGCTAGTAGGACGTAGGGATGAATAATGCAGTCATTTTGTGTAACAATCTATAGCAATTCATGTTGGCTTTACTACAGTGTGTATCGATACATTTAGGCAACAAAGAGAACTGACTGACTGACTGAGTTTGGTTTTAGCCGCTTTTAGCATTATTCCAGCAACATCACGGCGGGGACACCAGAAATGGGCTTCACACATTGTACCCATGTGGGATTCGAACCCGGGTCTTCGCCGTGATATGCCAACGCTTTAACCATTAGGCTCCCCCACCGCCCCTCAACAAAGAGAAGGTACCGAGGGTTGTAACTAGCAGTGTGTACACATGAACATAAAATTTTGGTCATTTGTGCCTTCATAAATTATGAATAAAGACGTAGGCATTTGAATCATTAATGATTATACTTGGGTAAACATAATTTTGTCTTGCTTCCAAAACTGTTGCAATTTATTTTTGTACATTGTTGTTGTCTACTTTCTCAATACTTTTTACATTTTTTTAAATAATACTTTAAAATGGTTCAGCAAGATTGTATTTATTTACACCATTAGATAAATTGCAATGCAGTGACCTAGAGCATTATTTTATTGTTACATCTCTGGCAGAAGACATGGATGTTTATTTGGCCATCAGAAGTAAACAAAATTGTTTTGAAGTTGATAATTAACAATTCACATTTGATATCCACTAGCCAACAATGTCTTTATATTTCAAACCAAATAATCTACACAGGTGTCAATTTTTAAACATGAAAATATTCCTCGACAATATTTTCATTCACCATTTTAATGAATTTAAATCTTTTGCTATCATTTGTCTTTAATGTAAACCTAATGTAAGAAAAAAACAACAACAGAAAAAGACATGCAAAAGTTGTTACACACACAGCATCACTGACAATCTTTGAATTAAAAATACAGACGAAACAAAAGAATTTGACATAAAGGTACATACTATAGCTAAATACTGAATCAAGTTTAGAAAAACGTCAGATATGCATTCAGTACATAAAAAGGTAGAATTGTTGAATCATGATTACTATTCAACAGTGAATGAATTATTGATTGAAACATTATGTACAAAAGGTGCATAAGATGTGCGATACAGATTATACTTCTGAGATTTATGTGAACTGCATGCATAATTCTTGAAAACAAAGGACCAAAAACATGTACTTACCACGTTTTACATTTGTTGTGTCAGCTGAAATGAAAGAATAAATACATAAAATATAAAGGAATTATGGTATACGAATGACATTTCTCTCAAGTGTTTTGTAGTTCATATCCATAAGATATTCTTTCCTAAATTGTTTGGACATTGACACTTTTATCATCTGAAGTTTCACATGAATGAATACAAACTATGAACCACAAACATGTATCTTGAAATTAAAATAGATATAAATGGATACTTTCTGTAGGTAACAACAGTATGAGAGTGTAATTGGCAAAGGAAACTTCAATAAAATAGTTTTTCATGTTGAAGGAAGAGAGATCCTGATACAGTGGGTGTTCTCAAGGATGATATTCACTATATTCTCAAGGATGATATTCACCATGTTCTCAAGGATAATATTCATCATGTTCTCAAGGATGATATTCACCATGTTCTCAAGGATGATATTCACCATGCTCTCAAGGATGATATTCACCATGTTCTCAAGGATGATATTCACCATGTTCTCAAGGATGATATTCACCATGTTCTCAAGGATGATATTCATCATGTTCTCAAGGATGATATTCACCATGTTCTCAAGGATGATATTCATCATGTTCTCAAGGATGATATTCATCATGTTCTCAAGGATGATATTCATCATGTTCTCAAGGATGATATTCACCATGTTCTCAAGGATGATATTCATCATGTTCTCAAGGATGATATTCACCATGTTCTCAAGGATGATATTCATCATGTTCTCAAGGATGATATTCACCATGTTCTCAAGGATGATATGCATCTCTTCCTACATCTCCTTGGCAATCAGAAGAACACTCATTTGATGTTGAATTGATTTCACTCAAAAGGTGTGTGGAATAAAATGTGTAGATAGAAAGAGACAATATTCAAACACTTCACACAATTAAATGTATCATTAAGTAATATATTTGCCTACATGAACTATTAATACTGAGAACAACAGTAAATATAGTTCAGCCATGTTAGTTCACCTATTTTGTCAGTATATTTACTGTTGTATATAAATGAATTAATTTCATCAAACAAATATCTAACAAGTATTGTCTACTGAAGTTCTTGGTAAGCTGAAATAGTAAAGACAAAAATTCAAAACACCAAAGAAACAAAATTAATCTCACCTATCTAGGAAATGAAAACAGTCTACAGGTAATGTGACCCAAAGGAAGGATTCTATTCATAAAGCAAGAGAAGATCTGTGTTGACCAACGTATAATTTGGTTACAGATAGAAAAGACCACAACCAAAGTATTCAGTAAGAATATATTAAATCATACTATGATAATATCATGTGTATTATATAAAGTTGAACAAACACTGTCTTCTTAACTAGATTTGCCATACATTATTGATAAAATGGTTTATGAAAATCTTTTTAGACCAAAGCTAATAACCAATTTCTAAAATTTCTATTAGAAACAGACTGCTTATATATTATATATATATTATGATGACATATTGTTACTGGATGGATTATTGGGCATATATATAATACTATGTCTATACTTCCATAGATTTACTGTTTGAGCCGCAGATAAAATATCATTGATGTTATAACTCTGCAATATGCAATATTCCAGCTCTGTCATGGTAAGGACGGAAATATGTGAATGTTGTTTCTCGAAATAATCAACATATTAGCTGTAATGGAAGTGTTTGATTTACAAGACCTCATTTAGACAAACAGTTTACAATGACACAATCACTCTGAATACCCAAACAATCATAAAAGCAAAAAGCACTTTTTGAAAATCAAAACTGTGTCTCCATGCAAGTATGGAGGTCAAAGACCCTACTGGATGTCATATATTGGCAAGTTCTGTATGTCTATGGAGGACAAAGGTGTTGATGGATGTCATGTATTGGCAAGTTCTGTATGTCTGTGGTAAACAAAGAGGCTAAAACATGCAATGTATTGGCCAGTTCTGTATGTCTGGAGAACAAAGAGGCTAAAGGATGCCATATATTGGCAAGTTCTGTATATCTGTGGAAGACACAGACGTTGATGGATGCCATGGATTTCAAAGTTCTGTATGTCTGTGGAAGACAAAGACGTTGATGGATGCCATGTATTTCAAAGTTCTGTATGTCTGTGGAAGACAAAGACATTGATGGATGCCATGTATTTCAAAGCTCTGTATGTCTGTGGAAGACAAAGACGTTGATGGATGCCATGTATTTCAAAGGTCTGTATGTCTGTGGAAGACAAAGAGGCTGAAGGATGTCATGTATTTTAAAGTTCTGCATCAACATCAGTAATTACAAACTGATAATTCTGCAGATATATTATGTGAAATGTTTCTTTAGAAACATGATTTTACACAAAAGGGCTGAATGAAATCTGCAAACAATTTTTTTTGTTAAACTCTATTTTCCACCTCTATGGTTGGTTCTTTACATGATGAGCACCGAGCCATGTCACTGCTCGTGGAGTATGCCGTGGTAGTATTCTGGTCATATTCCACGACTAGGCGCTGTAATTTCATCATGTCCATAGCATATTGATATCAAGAAGACAGAGCAGTGAAGTCATAGTGCAGACTATCTAAGCAATCAGTCTGGACTAATTTGATCCAATTCCTCGAGGACTTTGTTATAACAATATTTACAGACTCGTCTAGATTCGGGACCAGTGAAAGAGAAAGAGACACTATAATCTTCAGTTTTAGTCAGTGGAGAGGAGGTGTTTGAGTGGGGAGAGGGATTTGAGTGGGAGGGGTGTTTGAGTGGAGAGAGGTGTTTGAGTGGGGAGGGGGTTTGAGTAGGGAAAGGTGTTTGAGTGGGAGAGGTGTTTGAGTGGAGAGAGGTGTTTGAGTGGGGAGAGGGGTTTGAGCGGAGAGGATGTGTTTGAGTGGGGAGGGGGTTTGAGTACAGAGGGCTGTTTGAGTGGGGAGAGGGGAGAGGCTTAAAGCTAGGAAGGATGTATATTTTTGCAGGGCGTAAGGCTGGGCAGAGTGTAAGGTTGGGCAGGGTGTAAGGTTGGGCAGGGTGTAAGGCTGGGAAGGGTGTAAGGTGGGGAAGGGTGTAAGGCTGGGAAGGGTGTAAGGTTGGGCAGGGTGTAAGTTTGGGCAGGGTGTAAGGTTGGGCAGAGTGTAAGGCTGGGAAGGGTGTAAGGTTGGACAAGATGTAAGGCTGGGACGGGTGTCAGGCTGGGAAGGGTGTAAGTTTGGGCAGGGTGTAAGGTTGGACAGGGTGTAAGGTTGGGCAGGGTGTAAGGTTGGACAAGATGTAAGGCTGGGAAGGGTGTAAGTTTGGGCAGGGTGTAAGGTTGGGCAGAGTGTAAGGCTGGGAAGGGTGTAAGGCTGGGAAGGGTGTAAGGTTGGACAAGATGTAAGGCTGGGACGGGTGTCAGGCTGGGAAGGGTGTAAGTTTGGGCAGGGTGTAAGGTTGGGAAGGGTGTAAGGCTGGGAAGAGTGTAAGGTTGGACAAGATGTAAGGCTGGGAAAGGTGTAAGTTTGGGCAGGGTGTAAGGATGGGCAGAGTGTAAGGCTTGGAAGGGTGTAAGGTTGGACAAGATGTAAAGGCTGGGACGGGTGTCAGGCTGGGAAGGGGTGTAAGTTTGGGCAGGGTGTGTGTAAGGTTGGGCAGGGTGTAAGGCTGGGAAGAGTGTAAGGTTGGACAAGATGTAAGGCTGGGAAAGGTGTAAGTTTGGGCAGGGTGTAAGGATGGGCAGAGTGTAAGGCTGGGAAGGGTGTAAGGTTGGACAAGATGTAAGGCTGGGATGGGTGTCAGGCTGGGAAGGGTGTAAGTTTGGGCAGGGTGTAAGGTTGGGCAGGGTGTAAGGCTGGGAAGAGAGTAAGGTTGGACAAGATGTAAGACTGGGAAGGGAGTAAGTTTGGGCAGGGTGTAAGGTTGGGCAGAGTGTAAGGCTGGGAAGGGTGTAAGGCTGGGAAGGGTGTAAGGTTGGACAAGATGTAAGGCTGGGACGGGTGTCAGGCTGGGAAGGGTGTAAGTTTGGGCAGGGTGTAAGGTTGGGCAGGGTGTAAGGCTGGGAAGAGTGTAAGGCTGGGAAGAGTGTAAGGTTGGACAAGATGTAAGGCTGGGAAGGGTGTAAGTTTGGGCAGGGTGTAAGGTTGGGCAGAGTGTAAGGCTGGGAAGGGTGTAAGGTGGGGAAGGGTGTAAGGCTGGGACGGGTGTCAGGCTGGGAAGGGTGTAAGTTTGGGCAGGGTGTAAGGTTGGACAGGGTGTAAGGTTGGGCAGGGTGTAAGGTTGGACAAGATGTAAGGCTGGGAAGGGTGTAAGTTTGGGCAGGGTGTAAGGCTGGAAGGGTGTAAGGTTGGGCAGGGTGTAAGGCTGGGAAGGGTGTAAGGTTGGGAAGAGTGTAAGGTTGGGAAGGGTGTAAGGCTGGGAAGGGCTTAAGGCTGGGAAGGGTGTAAGGCTGGGAAGGGTGTAAGGCTGGGAAGGGTGTAAGGCTGGGAAGGGCTTAAGGCTGGGCAGGGTGTAAGGTTGGGAAGGGTGTAAGGCTGGGAAGGGTGTAAGGTTGGGCAGGGTGTAAGGTTGGGAAGGGTGTAAGGCTGGGAAGAGTGTAAGGCTGGGAAGGGTATAAGGCTGGGAGATGTGTTTGAGTGTGGTGGAGGAGTATGTATGGGAAAGGCTGCTTGAGTGGGGACTGGGGTGTAAGAGTGTGAAGGAGCGTTAGTGAAGGGAGTGTGGAAGAATGAGAAAGTGATGATGGGTGGTGCTGATTATGCTCATCCTGATCAGGAAGCTAAGTTCTGGCGCCAGACTGACGCACTTAAGGTTAAATTTATCTTGTACTGTTTGTTCACCCAATCTAATCATTAAATAGCTGTTGCATGAGCAATTTGGCCTTGTGGCTTGTTAAACGAATATCAAACATGCACTAAGTGAATCAAAAGTCATGTAATGGAATAAAAACAGATTAGCAAATTAGCATCTTTATGTAACACGGCCCTAAAGTTTAAGAAACTACAAGAAGCTTCATCCAATAATTGGATATTAATTTCATGTGTCTTTGGCTGCACTCGCAGTCTTAATTCTTATAATAGCTTTTATCATATTGATCTTTCAATACTCCTCATTTCTCACATCCCTATTTCAGACATTTGGGAAGCATGATATGATCTTGATTTTTAAAGTTAAAAAACTGAACAAAAAATTTAACAGAAATGGTATCCTTATCATCTTTATCAAACAGAATTTGACAAACATTCATCCATCAATGTTAATTATGGGCTTGAAACCAGTGCATTGGTAACTGATGTCACTAACAGCTTGTTTATAAATCATGATTTACAGCCATTTTCGTATTTGTCAGACTTACAGCACAATCACTGACAATTGTTCAAGATGATTCGAATCCCCACATTGGTAAGATGTGTGAAGCCCATTTTTGGTGTGCCCCGCCGTGATATTGTTGGAATATTGCTAAAAGCGGCGTAAAACCAAACTCAGTCAGTCAGTCAGTGTTCAAGATGATGATGGGGACAATGTTGATGATGATGTTGGAGATTTTATGGGTGCTTTCAGTGGACCTGATTTTGCACTTGGATGTTGTGAGTGAGTGAATACTGTTTGCTGGTACTGTCGGCAATATTCCAGGCAAACCAGTGGTTGAGAGCATGAGCACAGTATTGGTTGAAAGCATGAGTACACTATCAGTAAGGTCACTCAAGTACTTTTATTTTAGGTGACTCTTGTAAGAACCATGAGCACCCCCTCCTCCCTACTGTCAACAATAGCATAAAACCCCGTAAGAGTGAGTGAGTAAGTAAGGTTTTATGCTGATTTTAACAATATTCCAGCAATATTATGCCGGGGGACACCAGGAATAGGCTTCACACACACCTATGTGAGGATTCGAACCAGGGTCTTCAGTGTGACGAGTGGTCACTTTAATCATTAGGCTGCCCCACCACCCCCCAACCCACGAAGAGTACACAGGGATATATTCTGACCACAGTGTATTGTACACTTTGCTTGGCACCAAAAAGCCAATTACCACTAAAAAACAAACCATGAAAAGCTTAGATTTGACCTTCCTGCTCCAATAGGGTTGACATGCTTGCAATGACATGACCAAACTTATGAAAAAAGCCACAAAAAGAACAAGAAGTCACATACACCAGAACCAGACAACACCATAAACAATTTAGTCAAATTGCTGGGGACTACTAAACAATGTGTTCTCGGAATGGACTGATTTTATTGTTTGTTGGAGTGATCCTGCAAAGACGCACCAAAAGGGACACCACATTTGCTTTGAAAGATATTTCAGATATATCATGTATGTCAGCTTGTGGGGAAAAAAGCAGAAGAAACACAGGTTGAAGACCATAGTCTCACTCCACAAAGCCATCGTAGCACTACGACTGTCGTAAATCTGTGTTAAAGTATACGAGTTACGATAATCTCAGGGCTAAGATCACTCTGTAGAATTGGGCCCAGGTGGATCTACAAATGATGAATTGGGTCCCAATCCACAAAGCATTTGTAACATTACGACCTGTCGTAACTATACAGTTTACCATGGACTTACGAATGTCGTAGTGCTACAAACGCTTTGTGGATTAGGATCCTGACTCAGGCACAGCATGGGGATACACCTCAACACAGTTACACACTACAAAGCATATAATTGCGAGCTGACCTAAAAAAATACCTTGCTTCAAGAAAATCCTATCAATCTCTTTAAACTAGTGAATGCAACAGTGTCAAAATAAATTGTCCGCTACTTCAGTTTCGCACCTGACATCAACCTCAAAGGAATAGTATACTAATTTGTTTACAACAGTGACAGACATAAAAGCACTTAACGATGGCCAAGGACAGAGTTGTTACCCAGAATTCATAGACTGCCTGTATCGTAAGTTAGCCATCATTCACTAAAGTATGTTTGGTTGCAAATGAGACTGTAACACCTACCCTTCTAGAACACAAGGGACCAGCAGAGCTAGACATTGTAATAGATCCTTGTCAGACACAGAACCTGTACTAAACAGCGTAGGGTTGTACCGTGTACAGTGTCACTATTCAGGCAGCTCAGATTGTGATTAAAATGTATGGCTACTTACTCCCTACCTACATGCAACCATTTATCACATCCTGTTTGATATACTGATAGAGTAGATCTTACTGAACTTATCAGAGAGCCTGACGACCTTGAGCAGTAACTGCCATACATCAGTGTTCAAGTTGTTTGAGTTAAGGAGTCATAGAAATTGGTGTCTAGTGGTCTTCACTGTGCAGAGTTGTGTCCCTTTGCCATGCTAGGATTACCAACACTAGGTTTAGATTTTGGGTTATAAATGAGTGAGTGAGTGGTTTTACGCCACTTTTAGCAATATTCCAGTAATATCACAGTGGGGAACACCAGAAGTGGGCTTCACACATTGTACCCATGTTGATAAATCCAACCCAGGTCTTTGGCATGACGAGTGAACGCTTTAACCACTAGGCTACCCCACCACCCCTGGTTATAAATGAGCTGTCAGCACCATGTATGTGCTGTGAGTTTAACCAATACGCCAAATGTCTAAAACCTGGACAACATTTCATCTTTCCTCCCACATTAAGCTGACATGTCACAATAATCCTGAAATACTTTTCAAAGTTACACTAACCAATAATTCTAAAATAGCTTTGTGGTACAGGCCTTCAAGACATACCCTGCTTTCAACAGGCCCAGGATACATAATTTCAATCTTCTGGATCCTAGTGTGACAATCCCTACAGACTGCAGGTATTGAAGCAGTGTTGGACAAAGGACCATAACAATGATTCTTACCCAGATATTTTGGATCTATATCACGGAAATATTTCAATGGTGCAACAGTAGCCAATAACACAGAGGTGCAAACAGATGACTAGGACAAATAAACAAACATAAATTAACTTACATCCACTACCTATGTTTTAACTATCATGGTTCAAATTGAAATTGCACTTTAATAGGATCTTCTTTCATTTCGCAAAAAAGATCGAACAAAACAAGATTCAAAACCAAAGACAGTGCAATTCCAAATGTGCCGACCATCGAGGACAAAATACTCACTGCTATAATTTGATTTCCGCTGAAATCGTTCTAGTACTGTCGATGCTACAATAAAATTTACAAAATTCTGTCAAATACATAACCTTGGATATGACTTTTACGATAGTTTATTTTGACTTGATTTACATGAGGAGGACCAATTTTCTGTTCAAGTATGGACATTTGAGTGACATTATTTTTAAATAGATAAAAAATATTGTTGATTGATGTTTCAGCAGTTTGACCTATTAGCCATACTTCTATCTAAACTTTTGCCCACTACAGCCAGTTTAATATTGCTTACTTCTTGAAAGAGAATTCCCCTATGCCTAAACTATTAAAGGCCAACAGATCCTTTCGGAAAAAGATTTTCCGTTACCAATAAAGGATGAATTGTTGTTATAGGATAGACATAATGTCATTTGTACTTTTGAGGTGTTATTAATCCATATCAACAAATCATATTGCATTTATACTGTAGTTTTCTTGATAATACACTAAGAGATGAATAGTTTAACATCTGTAGAGACATGCTTTTTTGTTGCTTTTTTGTTGGCTATTAAAACTTTGCTTCATAATTATGTTAGGGAAGTCAATATCAGACATCCTGGTCAGGTATTAACAAGGTGTGTGGCTGTTAAAACTTTGGTTTTAATTATGTCACTCAATATTCCAGGTGTATGAATGTGGCTTGAAATAACCAAGCATGACATTCAATCCTCTCAAGACCGGAATAGGTTTATGTGGACCTATTCTAACTAAAGGTCTTACATATTAGTATACGAACATATCAGTGTATATAGACTGTATTCATCAGACTCTTTGTCATCACCTTGGTTCCTTTTTGATTGCATTTAGAAGAAAAGGGTGAGCAAGAATTGTTTCAGGACACTTTAAGCAATATCCCAAAAATATTGAAGTTTTTTTTTGCAGGGTTGCAAGAAATGGGCATTATACATTGTGCCCATGTGGGATTTGTTTGTTTTGGTGTGATGAGCAAACACTTTAACCACAGGCTACCTCACTAACCCTTAGTTGTGAGGGTGTCCAACAAGAACAGACATTATTAACCTGACCAATGAGAACTGCATGTTGATGTTTGTTGTTAGCTTCAAACATATTTTTCCCATCACATCTTTTTCATGATGTATAGATTTACAAGTATGCAATTAAAACATATAATAAAAGAAACAAAAACAGAGAAAACATTAACGAGAAACATTCACATCACTCACTGAGACCTTTTTGAATGATTTATGAATGTATGTACTTCACATCTTGTAATGGTTTTTGCTTTAACATGATTCGGTAAAAGTGTATTGCTGATTACCATATTGTATAGCAATATCTTCAGGTTAATCTGAGAAAAAGAAAGCAGTGTCATGGTACTGTAGCTCACCCATATATGTAAAAGAGTATATAATCTCAGATAGAGTGAATGAGTGAGTTTATTTTTACGCTGCACTCCGCAATATTCCAGCTGTATGGCGGCGGTGTGTAAATAATTGAGTCTGCACAAGACAATCCAGTGAGCAACAGCATGAGCATCAATCTGCACAATTGGGAACCAATGACATGTGTCAACCAAGTCAGCGAGCCTCACCACCCGATCCCGTTAGTCACCTCTTACAACAAGCATGGGTTACTGAATGGCAATATTCTAACCCGGACCTTCACGGGTATAATCTCAAATGGACACAACATAGGTTGATATTCAAACATTTTCTGTATAAACACTAAAATCAAATATATATTTTTCTAAAATGCAAACCAGCTTCAATGGTTTGAAGTTTGCGCAAGAGGATGCATGATGGAAACTGGATGTTGGATGTCTGACAAACAAGCCTTAACATAAGATCACTTGAAATTCGGCCTGGTGAACTAGTGAAATGAAAATGTTTTTCTAACAGAAGTTTAGAACTATTTATCCCTTTTCCATACAAAACATGATTTAGCAAACACCAGTATGTTTCATTTTGTATGCAAATGTTACATTTGAGTTATTATGACAAATAACTGAACAACCATTTATCTATTAAACAGAGCTGTCCAGAGTACTCTCACAATGACAAACAATATTCACACCCTCATGGCTCTGTATCTACAACCAGCTTACAGATATATACATATATGACTACTGTGAGGTGAATTCCCATCTCTTATTGCAAACCATTACCCAGAAACATGGAATTACCAGACTCGCTAGTCTTCAGTCCTAACAAGCTGACACAAATAGTTCAAACACTACTTTTACTATCAACTCAAACATGATGCCGAATAACAATCAAACAAAACTGAATACCCGATTATTATTAATATTTTATGTTCTGTGATGTCGCACTCTGCAATATTCCAGGTGTATGACAAGGATTGGTAAAAAATGTAGTCTGGACCAGATAACCCTGTGATTTACATCATCATCTTTGATAGAGTAGTTGGGATACAAAGACATGCATCTACCAAGGCGGTGAGTCTGAACACCCGATCCCAATATTTGCCTCTTACGACAAGAATGGATTGCTCAAGACCAATTCTAATCAACATCTTCCTAGGTAGAGACGCAATGTGTCAAAGGCTTACAATGATTAACATATCTTAAACTAGGTATCAAACCATGGAGATAATCTTTAAGGGAAAAAACTCTAAAAATATAAGGGATTTTAAAAACTACATGGCTATGTCTATGGGAAGGTTTGAAAGATTTTCTAATAGGAACAAACAACAATAATGCACAGTTTATATCGACATACTGACCAACAAGGACTGTGACTTTAATGCTGGCGATGACATCTTGTGAGCTTCTGCAGATGTATGTTCCTGAATGGTCAGTCGTGCTTCGGTCCACGAGGAGCTCACTTGTCATCGACTGTAACCGCAGTGACCGATATTTTGTTATAACAATATCATTATATTTGTGTGAATCTATTTTATCTCCATCCTTGAACCAGTCAATCTCTTCGGGTATGTGCGGCCCTCCAGTCGCGTTACATATCAGCTTGATTGGGTCCCCATAGTCCACATAGGTACTGCCGATCACTGAAATTGCTGAAAAATATTTATAAGAAGGTGTAAACAAACAACTCCAAAATACAAATGGTCATGCTTACATTAAACTAAATGAATATATTCATAAATCAGTTATACTTACTTTATGCTGAACTAATATATTCATAGACCAGTTCAAGGAATATGTTCTTAATAGTTCAAAACTCTCGTTGTATTTAAGTCTAAACTTAACAGATCCAATTTCCATAGTGAGTCTGCTTTTAACATGATTAGATGGGTGTGTTGATATATATCCCATGTATGGCATTACTCAAACAAAACAAACACACGAGTAACAAAATGAAGCATTTGTTTTTTAGTAATATTTGTGTCAATAGAATGATGTTTTCAAACAGAATGGTATTATTTATTACAAAAATAAATCACTGGAACCATGAATAAAATTTAGATCTGTAGGAACCCTGACAATCATGCACTTACTGCATAAATGCCTACCGATAAGGACAATATGTACATGGTTGGTCTTAACATACACTGCTACATAACACACTATTCTGATGCCTAACATGATGCTATGACACATTAATGTGTTGATTATTACAAGTGACATCATGCTTTATGATTTTATGATCATATTCAACCTGCTAGTGAACTAGGGTGACACAAGGGTATTACAGGTGTGTGAATGTGTACACAGAAATTACAGGCTCTGTAGCTCACCTTTATAGCTACATGACTACATGTAAAGCATATTGTACACAAACATCCTTCGTAACTTGACTAAAGTTTCATTAGATCAGTTAGGCTCAGGTTATTACACTTTCGTACCAACATTTTGATTTTTTATTCTGTTAGCTCTTAGCTCTTACAACAAACATAGGTCACAGACAACCGGTTCTAGCCCTGGGCCTAGATTTTCGAAGCTCTCTTAGCGCTAAGATAGTCGTAAGTCAATGCTAATGAATGGCACATACGACTATCTTAGTGCTAAGAGAGCTTAGAAAATCTCGGCCCAGATCTTCACAGGTCCACATGCTACTGGTTGGGCAGAACACACTTCTTGTTGACACCAGGTGTCATCACAGATTTATAATTTTCTATTCATATAATTTTCATAGTTATTTTGCCTTTTAGTCATTGTTATTCTGTGGCATTGGCGTTTCATATTTACCTCAAAACCCTAAGCTATTCATCAATAAAACCCAAAGATTTTTTTCATGTTCTGCAACACACAGACAAACTAGTACAACTGCCAATATACTGTCTGCAAATTTCCAATGTGCTTGATTACATTGACAGACTCATTATATGCCAGCTTCCAACATTAGTCATATGAGCAGCACACAATTTGTGAAAATACCATCTACACCGGCAATAACTTTGAGAAGTAGATTAGTTGCCTTGGCACTTTGTTTACTGTTACCTCATGCAGTGACTTTCAGCAAGAATTCACCTACAACCGAAAACAAGTGCCAAATCCTAGTAAAATACATGTCTGCTGAAAACAGAGCTTCATGATGTCCATAACCCTTCCAGTTTGTTTCTTTGTTGTTAACGCTGCACTCAGCAATATTCCAGCTATATGGCAGCAGTCTGTAAATAATCGAGTCTGGACGACAATCCAGTGATCAACATCATGAGCATCAATCTACGCAATTGGGATACGATGACATGTGTCAACAAAGTCAGTGAGCCAGACCACCTGATTTAAACCTTCCAGAAGCATGCTAGATGGAAAACATAAGATACAGTTTAAAAAACTCAACTGGTCTGTGACCAGCGGAGCTAAAATTAATTTCAGTTGCTTTATCAGAATGACGTGTGAACAAACATGGAGAACGTGAAGTATGAGGTCTGTGTCAGTGTCACATGTGATAACACGCTTTCTAGGATGTTGAAACACAAAAACAATAATTGTGAAACAATGAAAATTGCAACAAAGATTTTGTAAAGTGATATAATACAAAGAACGAGTGATAAATGAAAACATTAATGAAATTCAGTGAAAACTTCTTTAGGAATTTATGGATTTTGATCTAATAATTCAGAAAAGTTGGTTATCTACAGAACATCAAAGGGAGATCATTTATTGCCCATGCACAAATAGGGTCAGAGTGTAACAGCTTTGGACTTTTAGATGGGGATGATTTGCTGCTAGTTGACCATGTCAGTAGAATCATGCTTATTCTTATTTTGAAGACTTCAAGGAATTGATCTTGAGACACTAAGCTCGAAACCTCCACAAGATGGTGGTAGCACCTATGACAGTATTAAAGATAATACAGGAATACTTATTACATTTCTGCATAGCTTCGAGCTGTGTTTCCGTCACATGTGTGACAAACACAATCTGGAAGAGTAATAACACGACCTGGCAGGCGTTGCCACAATATGCGCCACGGCAATCCATACCTTTATGTCCATAGTGTTCAATTAGCATGAAATTATCATTTTAGGGGAAGCTTAACTGTAACATTGTATGAGTATAATCATGTTAGATGTGCCATTCATTTTGACCTGTTTCCTTAGGAATTTCATTTCAGCAGTGAGCTATCTCACGAACAGGAAGCAAAGATAAATACACATATTCTTTGCAGATGGAAAATTGTAAACGCAAGATTTACAAGGCAATGGCCCACTAAAATGATGCTAAAAATATTTCCTGCAAACTTGGTAACAGTCTCTGTCATGCTTTCTGTGCATGAACAGCAAAGCGAGTTATGTCCATGTGTAAGAGGGAAGCACTAATGGCTACAAGGGAGTGCAATTATGACCATTTAGAGTTGACCAAATGGATCTGTGGTCAGGATCAGTGGTGTGGTTGTTTGTGTGTCTTTGTACCACAACAATGTAGACTGTTGTTCACAATATCGACCACTGGGTTGTTGGATCCTTCTTGATTAATTACAGACAGGAATCATGTAGCTTGAAGTATTGTTCATTGAAGCTATATGTGTTTATATGCATGCATGCACACACACACACGCACACACACACACACACACATCTGCTGTGTACAGGATTGCAGTTATCACTCAGTGGATGAAGGCAGCTGTCTTTGCCAGGAATCTCTCAAGGAACAGATAACAGAAGTTGTGATCAGTACATGCTTGCTGACAATACTGTGTACTTAACAAGCAATAAGATATTTTTAAACCAGAACCTGGTCACTATCACTAGAGAGGTTCACTACAAATCCCAGGGGTGAAATGGTGAATGGACTCTCAGTTTCAACTACTGGTCAAGGATGAGTGTCCAGGAACAGCATCAGTAGGCAGTTCCAGCTGCCACTTCTGTCACAAGGCTGTCAGTGTATCAGGCTGCTACATGAACAGGCAGGCATCTTTGACAAGGATCAAAATTGAATGGACCTTCAGAAGTTTTTGAACCACAAGGTGACATACATTGGAGTAACTGCTGCCCCAAGATGTATAACAGATAAGAGAAATAACACCCTCTCTCACTCCAAGACACATGGACTGTCATCTTGTCCCTGTCCCTGTAGCCGCATGCTACAAGAATTGGTACCAAAGGCCACAGTGAGATCAAGCCAAAGACTAGAAGCTCATTGCTGGCAGGTTAGACAATCATGGCTACAGAACAATAAATTATAGACCAGTTTAACTTATGTTCTTGGGGAAATATTGGCACACAGAATCATAAACTAGGGATAACTACAATTTAATAACGCAGTGCAACATTATTATTTATATTCAAATATAATTCCTATTCCTCCACCTCCCTAACACCTGGATGACTAGGTAACTGCACGTACTACCTGTCGGCATCATCACAAGAGGAATCTCAACATACAATAGAGGATGAAGATGAGAGTGAGTGAGTTTAGTTTTACATCATTTTGATCAATATTCCAGCAATATCACAGTGGGGACACCACAAATGGGCTTCACATATTGTACCAAAAGGGAGAATCAAAGCCGGTCTTCAGTGTGATGAGCAAACACTTTAACCACTGGGCTACCCCATTGCTCATTGAAGGATGAAGATGAGAGGCAGTATTATGAGACTTGAAGGATGGGGTATAGAATGAAGGGACATAAGGAAACTAGCTATAGCTCCCACTATGAATGAAGGACAAAGAATGCAGCAAAGTTTGTCTTCACCATTCAGATGTGCTGCCAGAACAAAGAGAATAAGAAGGTATTGGCTCAGAAGTTTTGCACAGGACATTGAGCATGGAAAGTATGAAAGCAGGGTTCATATATATATATCATCTCTGTGTTCAGACACAGGTAGGTCAACAGACAATCAGAACACAGAAGAAATATCAGATGATATTGCTAAAGAGAAAATATATTTTGGTTCAGATCTGAATTTGTGTACATAGTACCAAGATATTTCTTAATACCCGAGCCATGTTGTTTTGATTTTGTTACAAGGCAATTACAAGTGGATCCTTCAAGAATTATATCGTTCAGAAATTATACAACTGTACATGGTACATATCAAATGTTCTTGTCTATGTAATGACATTATTCATCTTAAATAGAAAACATTCATTTTTCATACAGAAGCATTTATAGGAATTATTGTTCATAGGGGCACATTTTCTATGAAATCATGATATATCAAATCACAGGATGTAAGAATGCAAGGGCACATGTCGTTAAGTTTAAAGTTCATCTTTGGGGGAATACCATACTCCTACTGTTCTAGACTTGACAGAGACAGGACCAAGACATGTGAGGGAACTGAGAACAATTCATGCTGTTAGATGTAGGCAATCAGAAGCACTATAATCTACTATTCAGGACATCCGTTCACACATGCACGAATTGTTCCACTTCATCAAACATGTACTAGTTGACACAAGAGTTGGTCATGCAAGAAATTATTTAGCATCCCACCATGCAGTGCGAAGACGTCACAGGTAGTACGTACATTCTGAATATTTAATCCAATTTTTTGTTACTTTCTCATGGTGCTGGTATTGAGACGTACCGCTACATTGATCTCATTCCCAGATGATCTGTTGTTCACTATTTGTTTCAAGTGGTTGATCAAGTGAAAGATTTGTGAAAGAAAACTGAATTAAAAGAAGGCATAACAAATCATATCTTGCGTTGGAGTCAGAATTTTCTGGGATGAATATAGTGTGAAACAAAATCCATAATTCCATAAACAATTTCCTCGCTCTGCTGGCATGGTGAACAACAATTGTATTCTACCCATCATGACACTGCTTGCCATCATAACAAATATGAACAATTTCACAAATACAGTGCCAAGTGAAAAGTTTGTTCTTGTGGGCTTGTTTGGAATGTTACATATAGTCCATCATGAGATCTGTCTCTAGAGCCTTTACTTCTTCTTCACTTCATTTGACCTTGAAAACCTTTAGAACAGTTATCCAATTGTCAAGACTGTTTTCACACCATATTAGACAGGAGCTGACTTAACTTGGCTTTGTCTTTGGTTGCCAGGGAATATAACAAAGAGCAATTTTTCACTTGCCAGATTTGACATTGGAGCAGAGTTTATATCCTCATGATGATTCTCAGCTCGGGTTGTCAAGGTTACAAAAGACAGAAAGTGTGTTCATTTTTAATTATTTCAAGTATAACTGCATTTTGTCATTAAAAATAATTTTTGATAGGGAGAGGATGATGATATCTCTGCACTGCATGAAAAGCAACATTTTATTTAATCTGAAATTAAACAGGGGAACATATACCAACAACCTGTTATGCACCATGCGTTTTTAATCTACAGCCCAATCCACTCTTTTAAAATAAACAAATCGAAACCAAGATAAAAACACCAAACAGACAGTGAAAGCTAAAACATGTAAACGTGTGATCACGTGACGAACACACAAACTGATGACTAGCACCACAAACTGTGCTTTATTCACCTGGTTTGGAAGTGCGTATATCTGTGTTAAATCAGAAATAAATATAGATAAGCTTATTGATGCCATAGACACATTCAGGATCAGCATTCCAGCAATTCAGTAACATTTGGTACCTCATGCACCAACAATCTGCACATTGGTACTCTCCTAGACGACTGGTTCAGTGGATTTCGTCAGCCCACAAACGGTTTGTTTATCGATTCCCAATGAACCAAAATCCACAATATTCAGCTAATTTCACACAATATGCAGCATTATCTGCAGACTTAACACACAATATTACACTTAACAAATTTTACGTGGCACATGCTGAGTTAACAGGGCACCTGACACTAGACACATAAAGTTTCAGTAAAATAAATATGATGCGTACAATATGATCGAAAATGACATTTTTAAAAATCATATATCATATATCATTTATATGTATTCATATAAAAACCATTGTAAGCCACATATGAACCATAGCGAAATTATTTCAAACACAACCAAAAAACTATACTCCATATGGATGAAGCTGCTGAGCTGGTCGATCTGATGACCAGCATCAATATTCTATGAAAAGAGACTGGCTTCAGAGGCTGCACTCATGCATAGATTACTTGACTGTCCTGTTATGGATGCTAAGAGTAGCATATGGGGAAATATCCACAGATAGTAATGCCTTTTTATATATTTATGTGGAAAGAAGCTACTCATTTTCAGTTTTAACACCTTTTAGTAGGCATTATTATTGATGGTAAAAACAGTTTTAACATAGAAAGTGAATTTTGGACTATTTGGAAACTTTATTCATTGGTAATTCATACCTTAACCACAAGATCAGAGATTTCTTGAAGTTGTTTGTTTCAAAGTTTAAACAAAAATATATTAAATCTATTTGCTTTTTTAACAATTAGAACTAATCTAAATGGATATCATTATTTGAGACAAAAATATTAAGAAATAAGTTAAATGACAAAGTAGAGTTACTGCAAGCGTACACAATCTTGAGGGAAAATTAAATCTTTCCGCAACATGAAAATATATCTGTGTTCTAATTAGTAAGCATAAAATGATTACATTTCAAATCGTAATCAACACAGATCCTTTGAACCAGTTCTGTTGCAAAAAAACATGGACTTCTGGATAGGTAAAAATATGAAAACTTTATAAGTATTGATGGGAACGCTTGACATATTGACAAGAAGTAGACATGCTATAGGATTGTGCGCTTTGATTACATGAGTCAGAGGATAACATGACAGGTAGTCAGTCATGGGATTGATTTAACAAAGATAAAATATCTTCCTGTTCCGCTGCCAAAATGTTATCCAAGTATTTTTCCAGACATGATTCGAAAGTGAGCATGAAAAATAGGATGAAATATCAAGGTATATCAAAATGAAACCAAAAGAAAAAATAAATTTTCTGAAAGTAATTTGGAAAAGTTTAAAGGAATATTAGGATGAAAAATTAAATGCTATAATTTGGAATTTTACCAAAAATATAATGAGGGAACTAATAGAATTTACAAAACTTTTTATCATTTTAATACTTAATATTTCAGTTGTATTAGTTGTTAGTAAGCTCAATGGATACATATATTATATAGCAAGACTATCCAAAGTTGTTACAAATCATAAATTATTTCAACTCTAGATTATTCTTAAAAAGATTATTTACAAACATATCAGATTATAACATCATGTCTCAAACATTTTATCATAAATTTACAAATCTTTTGCGCAAGTGTAACAACCTTGAAGACGTTTGCTATAAATTCATATGGAGTATGAAGATCTTCCATGCTTCCCTCACTTCCATGCAAACAGAGACTTGTATCATGGTATTTAACATACACATATGAAAACAGACTTGTCAGTTGATTAGTCATCATGGAAATAGTACCAAAATTAGACTTAACTAAAATTGTGTATAAACAATTTTCACTTACCTGGGTTTGTGATTGGTGGACCTGTTGAGAAGAAATCAGTACAATATTATTCAAGGCCAAATGTAACATTTTCGTAACATTAATCAAACAAACAAAAAACATGTCTAATGGATGGTCTGGCCATTACGTGTATTTTCCAAGGTCAGACAATTTTTTCTGATTGATAATCAGAATATGTTTTGTAGAAAGAAGAAACACGCATTTGGCAGGCAGACCAAAAAGACATAAAACAAAAGACTGATAATAGTTTGTCTTCACCGATATTGAGAAGACGTGATTTCTCTTGGGCTTTGATTACAGAAAGTTTGAAGGTTTGTTTGAAAAAAAGACACGTCTGTCGGAGGCACTGTAACTTGTTAAAAAAGGTCTGTTCAATATAAATGCCAACCAAATTCACAAAGGGTCTCAGTGACTGTTAGACAGTTCTTCATGGGAGGATGGAAAATTTGAAATTTATCAGCTCTAAGTTTCAAACCACAGAATGTGAACTTCTGAAATAATGTTCAGAAAATGAGTTTACATTCAAGAATGTCAAACTTACTAGAAGAGATGTATATTGCTCGAACTACAGTGGTTTGAAAAGTTACAATTATTTTTGGACAACATCTTGTTCAAATGCGAACCTGGTTTTTAATAAGAAGCACAGTTAAAAATTATCTATATGACTTGAACTCTTAAATAGAGCTTTCAAGTAAATTATGGATACAAGCACAAGGTATAGTTTACCATATAAAAGTGTCAGGGAACACCAAGAGTGAGTGAGGGAGACAATGAAAGCATTCCCGCTATGTATGACATTATCTCAGCAGGATTGGACACCTGGTGTCATATTCATCAGTTGCATACAGGACATACATTTCACACCTTTAGCAATTCCCGACAGCAAAAGGTGTCATACCTTGAAATCTAATCTCCTGAACCTTAGACTGGCTATAGAGGGTGAGTGCTACAGCATTTGTAAGTTTGGATGGGTCTGAGCCTACACCAATACAGCCAGACCACACCCAAAAATTATCCATCTTGGGAAGCAAATCGTCAAAGAATGTAAGGAACACTGCACACCTTTACATATTATTCATCTTGGAAAGATGTGACATTCATAATATTTGTGGTGCCATATTCAGCAACGTTAACTTGTGTATAATACATCCTCTTTAAGAGAATTTCCACTTCCTTCAGGCCATGAATAGCTGTAATATTGTTGATGCGGTGTACAGCAATAATTATTCATTCATTATTCACTTCTTTCAGATACTGTCCAGAATGGTATGGTACAAGGTCACAAACTCAAGACCTCTGAAAGGTCAATCCCCCTTGACCATCTGGACAAGTGATGCTCTAACTCAGACCAAATTTGGTTCCATTTAATCCCCTTCACATATAACCAATTTTGCCTCTTCCAATACTAGTTGTAAGGTTTATACCCTAACCCCTGGATTGAAGCCTGGCCTCTTACACTAAAGACAGTCTTGATAGTAGCCAGGAACTCTGCTAATACCGGGTGATATAAATTACACTCCAAGCTTTCAAAGTGACCCCAACACCTGGCTAATTCCTCGCGCAGCTTTGTGAAGCATCAGGGAGTTTACTGGGCTAATGAGTTCACACATACATAATGGTATACTGGTAATTGTCTGGAAGTGGTTAGATTCAACAACATTGTTACATTGTTATGTCAGTTGACATGTACTGTTACAATCAATTTTACTTTTGCAACACATGTACTATCATAACGAATGTTAATCTATCATTTATGGTTGTTTTGTTGTTTAACATCGCACTCAGCAATACTCCAGCTATATGGCGATGGTCTCATGACCTCATGCAGTTTTTAGATGTTTACGACTTTAAGGAAATTCATGACCCGGGATATGTTGCTGACAAACACTGAAACATGATCGGGGCGAAGATGTGACATGAATATGCATGAAGCCTTTAAGTTCATATTAAATTGAATATTAATATTTTTCCAGTTTTTTTCCAGCTATTCCTGAATCAGCATTGAGAAATGAACCAGTGAACAGGAACACAAAAAGACAAGGGTAATGGCCCATAAGTTGTATTCACCGAAAATCATTTCTGCATCATTAACTTGCTCACCAAAATGACAAGCAAAGATGGCAAAATGGACAAAAGATGCTGAAATTGTTGTTTATATCAATTTAACAAGTTGCAAAACAAAACTAGTGCAAAAGGTTATCTCTAACATCTGAACGTACTGCGATCACATATATGCATCGTCATACAGCGTGTGTAACTAAGTGGTCATAGCTGATTGTGCAATGTTTAGTGCTTGACACATCAGCAATGTTTCAGCAAAAAGTATTACTGATCATGTCACATCAGCAAGGTTTCAGCAGTATAGCATTACTGATCATGTCACATCAGCAAGGTTTCAGCAGTAAAGCATCACTGATCTTGTCACATCAGCAAGGTTTCAGCAGTATAGCATCACTGATCATGTCATATCAGCAAGGTTTCAGCAGTACAGCATCACTGATCATGTCATATCAGCAAGGTTTCAGCAGTACAGCATCACTGATCATGTCATATCAGCAGGGTTTCAGCAGTATAGCATCACTGATTATGTCACATCAGCAAGGTTTCAGCAGTAAAGCATCACTGATCATGTCACATCAGCAAGGTTTCAGCAGTATAGCATCACTAATCATGGCATATCAGCAAGGTTTCAGCAGTATAGCAGCACTGATCATGTCACATCAGCAAGGTTTCAGCAGTATAGCAGCACTGATCATGTCATATCAGCAAGGTTTCAGCAGTATAGCAGCACTGATCATGTCACTGATCATGTCATATCAGCAAGGTTTCAGCAGTATAGCACCACTGATCATGTCACATCAGCAAGGTTTCAGCAGTAAAGCATCACTGATCATGTCACAACAGCAAGGTTTCAGCAGTATAGCATCACTAATCATGGCATATCAGCAAGGTTTCAGCAGTATAGCAGCACTGATCATGTCACATCAGCAAGGTTTCAGCAGTATAGCAGCACTGATCATGTCATATCAGCAAGGTTTCAGCAGTATAGCAGCACTGATCATGTCATATCAGCAAGGTTTCAGCAGTATAGCAGCACTGATCATGTCACTGATCATGTCATATCAGCAAGGTTTCAGCAGTATAGCAGCACTGATCATGTCACATCAGCAAGGTTTCAGCAGTATAGCAGCACTGATCATGTCATATCAGCAAGGTTTCAGAACAATATAAGCTTTGATCATTCAGCAAATTGTGACTATGGCCAAATCAATGTGGGTAATTGCTATTTTCACACCCCACTGAGCTTAATGGTCAATGTGCTATAATCTGACAAGTACCATAATGGTTTGATGGTTATGAAAAGATTGCCATTCATATCAAACACACAAAACATATCTACCAACAAAGATATATATATTCTTCAAGGGACAAAATGATATGTAATGACACTGAGCCCCAGCATGAACTTACCAACGACATTCAACTGTATGTGATATGCATATTCCCGTGTAGATGTGATCTGGCACTCGTAAATCCCTGAATCGTTGGCCTTGACATTTTTTATCAACAAGTCCCATGTAGTTATGTCCCCTGGCTGACTTTCATGCTCCACCATCATATTGACTTGCTTGATCCATGTAATCTTGCCAATTGTCAGAAACTGGTCAGAGTTAAGTCGCCGCCAAGCTACCTGAAAAATGGTAATAGTACATTCAATGAATGATCACAAGGATGGAAATAGTTATCTGAAACATATCAATTTATATTTCGTAATATACAGCTAAAAAATATATCATTTGCAATAGGCCAATTTAAAGGTAACCTGAGGCACAGTAGCTCACCTATACAATACACCATGGACAAGTTCATTTTGAGTGGTGACATTTACTACAGCATTCAAAATAGATGACTTATGATGAAAAAGATTCCACAAAAGATGTCTTCACAGGTAACCTCCATCATCTCACCAAGCCCTCAGTGTCACTCAGTTTCAAAGAGAAATTGGTTCATCATTTTCAAATTCAAGATCTTTTTTCAAATTTTGCTATTTGGACCTTTTCATCTGATAGTTTCTGAATTGGAAAATGATGAATTACTTTGAAATTTCTGTCATTTGATTCCCATGGTAACAAAAGTAACATGTTCTGAACCAGTTGCAAAGGTTCTAGCCTAGATACCATCACTTTGTGCTTCCTGCATCAAAGAGGATGATGGACATTTTGGTGGAAAGAACAGACAATTTAAAGGATTGAAAGCCAGATCTCAACTAGCATAGTTTAAGTATTGGTAGAAAGTAATGTTTCCAAAGAAATGCTAAGAAAAGGACACAGACGTAATATACCAGTTTGATAAATCGTCATGACAACACATTACCAAACAATCTTCATTTATTTCAAGTAAGATACACATAATGACAGTAGTAGCATTTTTAATTCAAAATAATTTGAAAACAAGGTATGATGTATTATGTCAAGTAGCAATTTAAGTCCTACAATATGAATTATTTGCCACAATCTTCCTTAATCACATTTTTTTTCATTTCTTTGCAGACTGCTTTGACTTCATGTGTGCTGCTTTGATGAATGAGGATAGGAATATGAGGGAAACTTAATTTCATTACCAAGCTATTTCCTGACCTTTCCAGAAAGAAGTAATGAACAATGTGAAATCAGCATCAATCTTGTCTCAACATTTATGTTTTCAAACGTATTGGTTACACAAATGAATTATATTTGAAATCTTACTTCAAGGCTGTTTTGTTTTCTTACAAGATACAAATGGCAGACAAATTAGACGGCAACATGCAAAAACACATTTTGATAGGAGCTTTTGACCCTCTCCACACAAACAGGAGCAGGTCTCAGGTCATGTCTTATCACTGACATCACAACAGGAAATAAGTCTGAGATAATACTTTCCTGATGAATTATTCATTCAATTACGGACATGCCACTTTCCTAACAACATCTCTTATCTGCACAGCAATGAAAGGATTCCTCTGCTGAATGAGGATGAAGGGAATGAGCACTTTAGTGCAACATGTTAAAGAAGCTGATTCCAATGTGCAGGACGATTATGGACGTAAAGAGTTGGGTGAATGAAATCATCAATACATGGCTGATTCAATATCAGACTGACACATCTGGAATAGTTGCCTAACCCTTAGTATTGTTAAATAATTGCTGTACAATTGCCCATTTGTTCTCTATGTATAATGGAAAGAAGAATATAAATAATTATTCTGGGACTATCTTGGAAGTCTCCCTGCTTTGAGGTAGGATATCCTTAAATAACACTGAAATAACATAACCCTGATATCAGTTCGAAACAACCTTGGGATTATTCTGAAGCAACTCAAAAATAATCATGACAGTAGCTGAAACAACCATCATTTGGAAACAATTGTGAAATTACCCTGAAATTACAAAAAGAATAGTCTGAATTCTGAAGCAAGAAGTCTGACAACTAAATGTTCACTGTACAAGGATTGGTGAAATAAATGAACTCTTCAAAATAACAACTTGTAATGAAGCAAGGAACTCAACAACTTCAGAATAGGCTGTAAAGATGACCAGGGCATTATCTGTACCGCATGAAGTGACCACTTTGATGATCCTAATTGAAGCCGAACACATTCTGGCCCCTATATATATTTCAGTGGCAGCAGGAGGATTTGAGGGCTTGTAGCTTTGAGGTTAAATAAAGCACAGACTTCTCAATCATGCAGCACACCTGCCAGCTCACTTCCCTACACAGATACAATTTGTGCAAACTCAGTACCTATGTCCATCCATCCACCCATCCATGCATCCGCCCACCCATCCATCCCCCCATCCATGCATCCGCCCATCCATGCATCCGCCCATCCATCCATCCATCTATGGACCCGCCCACCCATCATCCATCCATCCATCCAACCATGAGTTAACATTGAAAGTCACTTAGGCATTTTTTCAGCCATTTCATGACTATGAAACTGATACCTTAAAAATGATACATTTGGACAATATAACAACCTGCCAGAATGTCTTAGAAACCAGACTATGAATAATGAAGTCTTTTTGAACAGTATATGCATTTATCCACTGGGCAACTTCAATGAACATATGCATTACTGGCTGACCAAGATGCACATTCCCTTCCAAGTGAACAAAATCATTGCAATAATACTTGTGTCCAAAGGGAGTTTCCACTCCATCATCAAAGACAAAAATTTGCACTGTCTTGCACAGAAAATGAGATTATGGAAATCACAGGAGGGTATTTGAATAGCCATTTCATTGTCTAGACCGTCTAAAGAGAGTTGTACAGAATTACAAATTACCAATCTGGTCAAAAGTAAGTACTACATTGTGGGACAATGCCATATGAGTATACATAATGCTTATAAAACACGAATATATCTCAATTACAGGAAAATGTCCTTTGTTAATAGAATCTGAACAGATTTCTGAGGTGTGTTTAGGTCAGGGTCTACGCAGGATGTAGTTTTGACTGAGAGATGTATGTATAACAGAAAACCTGAATCAAAGCCATGATGCATATAACGCAAAAGTTTCTTCAATATTGGCCTGAAAAAAAAAGTGGCCATAAACTTTCACTCTTTTAAGGAATAGATTTAAAAATGTCTGCAGGAACATCTGGTCAGTTTTACAGATTTGTCTTTTTATATGGAATGTATTCCTCTTTGGCATTTTTTTAAGTGCAAGAAATGCCAGAATTTGAACAGAATTGAATATTTTTGTCTTCGTTAATAATGTAAATGCAATATGACTGTGGAAGGGACATAATTCAATCTTGATCTGATTTGCAATTTCAAAGAGTATTCCAGTCATATTTTTGTGGTAATAATGGTATCTTTGACACCAATCCGGATGTCTGATTGCCTTGCCCAGTAGAGTAGAAGTATTGAAGCCTCTGAAATTTCTGTAAGGTACAGCAAGCGTTGTAATTGCTGAAGATGGTGATCAGTTCAGAACTGTAGATGAATGTAATTAGTTGTACTACAATCAGGTCCATCCGCCCACTAATCTAACATTCATGAGCTGCTTGATTACAGGTGCTGAAACTAGCACAATGACAACTGATTAAAAGAAAATCTATTAACACAAACTATGCCCCAATTTCTTAAGTGTAAATCTTGTAAGAAAATAGCTGAATTGGTGTTTGATAACATTTTAACAAGATTAAATCTTGAACAAAATAAAAAGAGGAGGAATCAGTAATGTTTCTTGGAAACTTTGTTTTCGAGTTCATGCATCTTTGAAATGAAACTGGTGGCTTCAGCACATGTAGTTATTGTAAAAGTATTGAGTTGCAGACAACAAAGGTTTTAATTCTTCACAGTGATGGCACTTAGAAAGGGATGTTAGTTCACCTACATGCTTGAGGTAATTTGTGAGCATGAGAGCAGGAGGGTGGATACAGATTGCAGCTGATTAACAGCCATTCCAAACTTACAAAGCCCCCCAAAAAAATTTCTTTCATGATGGGCAAAGAAGTTAGGTTTTATATTGCTTTTGGTTTTATCCTTTCCATATCTTGAAATGAGACACAAGATTACAACCAACTATACCTACCCATGTGGACAATCAGAACGAGGCCCTAAAATTTATTTATGAGAAATGCTTTTTAAAACTATTTCTTTCTTGATTTGATTTTAATTGTACTGTGCTCTACTGCATATGTGATGTAAATTAGCCTTGATACTATTCAACAACATATCTTTGATGGGCAGATATGCATGGCAAAAGGATCTTTGTTTGCAATAGGGCGTATTCCTTAAGTAACAACAGATATGACCAGCAAATGAAAGTGTCTCTTGTAAGATGGCCTTGGTGATACAAGTGATATCGATGATGAATATTTCATCAACTGTTTGGGTGCTCACTCAATTATATCCTTATTCCTCAGCAAAAGTAAACTTGGATAAAAATTATAAAAATCCAAGCTTTCCTTTTCACTGAGTAGGCATTAGCACCAAATTCTGAAATCACACATTTCTATTTGAGTCAAATGAATGCTTGTTCTTGAACCGTAAGCTTTATCGTTTTTATACAAAAATGATTATGCAATTTTCAAAAGGAAATGATTCAGGAATCAAACTCTGAAAAACTGAAAATTATTCCAAAATAATTCATCAATACAACCCAATTGTAAGACAGTACTAACTAGATCCTTCAAGAAATATGCTTTCCATGGTTCACCAATTCCTGATGGTGTCCCAAAATGTGATTGATACTGGCTCACAACATCAAAGGTGGAGAAATTGAATGTCCCTGTATGCGAACATTTTAAAGCATCTTTTATGTCCACTTCTCTAATCTGGACTTGTTAAAAGCACTGACTACGACAAGTTGTTGGCGAAGACGACAGCTATTTAACCTGAAACTGGCATTTCCGCAGCACGTACTGTAATGTCAACAGAGTTAAGGCACTAAATAGTTCCTTTTTTGAATATATTTGCCGAAAAGGAATGCAAAATCAATCATAGATATTTGAACGTCAGATATTCAATAACTGCTGGGAAATGAAATTTATAGGAATGTGAAATATTTACCACTTGAGTATCGACTATATCTTCAGATATCAGCATTCATGACTTCAACAAGTAATTTGTTCAGAACTGAAGTCAACATCTTAAAAGGATGATGGAAGTGTTTACTTAATAGCCAATTAAATCATCTAGTC